GTGAAGTTTCCTGGTGTTCCAAAGCCATAACTCGCTTTGTAAACATTTCCAGGCTAATATAGGTTTTCAGACTGTTTCCAGTTTGTTCTTGGATTTCTTCAGTTCAGGGAAAGATATATTACATTTTGAGGGCAGCCTACTTCTTGTTGTAAAGCATATCCTGTTTCAGGGATTTCTAGATTGTAAAGCCGCTTTGATTACGAATGTAGCCAAACTCAGATTTCAAAAATCTTATGTTAAATTAAGCTTAAGCCAGCCTGGACCACCCGCTGATGTCTGACATCAAACTTGAGCTAATGAGTTTTTGGACCACATCTCCTCCAAAGCCAATCATCTTTAAGATCCCCTTCATTTAGCCTCTGGCTTAGGTTCTCTGAAGCATGCCTGAGAACTTTCACCCACCTCAGCCTTATCTCCTCCCTTACTCTCAGACTATTCTCAGTCCCACTCACCCTCCAAATGATTCCACCACCAGTGTCTGGGCCCCGGAGGGGAAGGCTACTCTACACCTTCTCCTAGATTAGTCATCCAAGCAAATATTGATTCACAGCATCAAAGTCTTCCAACGGCCAAAGAACTTATTTCATGCATATCACTAAAACTTTTCTAATTGCAGCTTTTCTCTGTGTGAGTCTGTCCAGATTGAATTACTGTTATCTCATAACTTAACATGCAGGCAAGTGCATGTTAACAAAGAAGGCCGGCTCTAGGAACCTCTCTACAACTATTAGAGAGGATTACACAATGAATAATTCTTCATAAAATTAAGGCAAGGTCAGGGTTGGTTTAGATAGTCCTTTTCCCTAAAATAATTTTAAACATCCGCTTTGTATGTCCTATTTGTCTGATATTTAAAACTTGTTTTTATTTTCTTTAGAATGTAAGCTAAATGAAAGACTAAACCAAAATACAATTTTACATTAGCAAATACTTTTCGCAGCACTGAGTAATAACTTCAGAAAATGCCTAATTTGAGTTAGGAACCTGTGTCTTCAGAGACTCCCCCTCACCTTAGTGCAGGTGCTATTTTATTCTACTTTGTAAGGGGGGGTGAAGGTTACCATTTGAATTCTTAACTTGTTTGCCTCAAACCCTCCAGGATTGCTTATGAAGTTCAAAAG